TATTCTCCTGATCCGTCCTTTCCTGATCTCTCTCCATATGTGTATTTTGCCATCACATTGGACTATGGGATTTTATTACTAAAAACGTATACAATTTTCAGGAAACTTATATATAAAACTTTATATTATATACATTGGTGATAAAAACCATATCTTTTTTTAATTCACCGTTATAAGAATGAAATGCATTTCAGATTTATTACTTTAATAATAAAAGTAAGTCGTTTGTCCTATTCTCCTGATCCGTCCTTTCCTGATCTCTCTCCATATGTGTATTTTGCCATCACATTGGACTATGGGATTTTATTACTAAAAACGTATACAATTTTCAGGAAACTTATATATAAAACTTTATATTATATACATTGGTGATAAAAACCATATCTTTTTTTAATTCACCGCTATCTAATTACAAATCGTAATAATACTAAACTATCATCATCATTAAACCCTATTAAAAGTTCACAACTGATCCTAGCATAGATTTCCTCATAGGAGAGATCGGACATATCTGCCAATATCACACGCTTGGCAAACGCTGATTTTTGTTATTTTAGTTGTTATCAGGAAGATGCTGCTACCCATTTCCTGTTTCATTTCCCTTTGTCGCTTTTTCAACACCAACGGGACGATATGGGGTAGTGGATATTCTTCACCGCCATTACACTAGTAATACTAACATATAAATAATGATAAAATATCAACTTTACTGTACCGTGTAACAATTTTCGACCTTTCAAAGATAAATCAAGGCAAACTTTTATAAAGTTTTAAAATATGTATTATCATAATTTTTCATAAGTGTAGTGTTTAACCACTTTACAATAGAACAAAAAAACCTTTTTTTCCCTCAGAAACTTTGTACCCATTTGATTAACACTTTAATGACGAGTTTCGGAAAATTAAAAAATAAAACAATTTTTTTACTTTATTCTATAAGTGTTGTACCAATTTTCAAGTTATGAAAATGATTTAATAATTCTTTTCCATATAAATTTTGAATCGTCCCGTAAAATAAAAAGTGTCGTAAAAACTGGAACGCTCAAATTCACCCTCAAATGATTTGAATTTTTCGAATTTATTTAGTGGACGCCGACGTAATTAACACAAGCTATTGCAAATTTTTCAAACTCCTTTTAAAATCTAAACGGTACAGCCTATATTATACGTCCCACTGATGGCTACAATTGCAATTAACAAGGTGCCAGCGTGGAACGAACCCGGGTTGCTCTCGTACTATGAAATTTACAGCGACCGTTTAGTCCCTGAACTACCACGGCTATAACCTTAAGACTAATTTGCTTTAATTTTTTTATAGGAGAGGGGGCATACGAGCATGCGGCTCACCTGATGGTAAGTGACTACTGCCGCCCATGAACAACTGCAACACCAGGGGAACCAGGGGAATTACAGATGTGTTGCCGGCTTTTTAAAAAGGAGTAGGCTCTTTTCTTGAAGGTCCCTAAGTCGTATCGGTCCGGAAAAATCGCTGATAGTAATCGATTCCACAAGGAAGTCGTGCGAGGAAGAAAACATCTTCTAAATCGCACAGTGGTGAACCGCCAATCATCCTGGTGGTGGATGGTGTGGATGGTATTGGGAGTTCTGCCGCGATGTGGGTTCGTATAATTTAACGGCTGGGATTAATCCGAGCAATTCCTCAGAGCACTCCCCGTGGTAAATGCGAAAGAAAATGCAAAGGGATGCAACATCTTTTTGCAGTGCCAATGAATCGAGCCGATCGGAAAGGACTCGGTCGTCGACGAATCGAGCCGCTCTGCGCTGGATCCCGTCAAGTGGAAGGAGCTGGCACTGGGGAGCCCCTGCCCAGAGATGGGAACAGTATTCCATGTGAGGCCGAACCTGCGCCTTGTAAAGTTGCAGCCAGTGTGCCGGCATGAAATAGTACTGTCCTGCTCTGCTGAGCACGCAAAGCTTTTTAGAGGCCAATTTGGCCTTCTCTTCCAAATGACCACGAAACTGCACGTTACTCGATATGTCGACTCCGAGGATTCCAATACTGGCTGAGGCAAGAAGGGGAGTGCCTTGAAACTGAGGAGATAGGACAAAGGGGTCCTTTTTAGCGGTAAACGCGCAAACTTGTGTCTTCTGAGGATTAAACTGGACTAGATTTAGTCGACCCCAATCCGAGACTTTGTTCAGAAAAGACTCGACTTCAAACACAAATCAAAAATAATATTTTATTATTTTAATTCAAGAGGGGATAAAATATTACAGTCGGTTATATTACATGTATCACGGGTTGTGCAGACATAAAATAAGTAATTGCACGTCTCGTCTTGTCTAGTATAAAGATCTTGCAACCACGCTTTCATCTATCTGATTAATATTTTCTTAGTTCCAGATTCGTCTTCTCGAAATATTTTTTAAAAGTAAATGACAATGATAGTTTCGTTCGCTAAACAAAAGTAAGCCAGCGGACTATATTTCATATCCGAGCCTGTTGTTGTTCTCGTGTAGTTGGCTTAGTGTGGAACGAATCTTTATTAGACGGATGACCAATTAATTGTAACTAAAAAGCTCAACCTTGTGATATTTGGTAAATATAAAATTTTACTGCTTGTACTGATGGCGTAATTTTTATTACTTAAATTATATAGTAGGTATTTATTCATTTATATTCTCTATGTTGACATACAACGCAATAGCCATTGACTTTTGGAATTGCTTATATGAGCATCGTATCTGTCTTGTAGTTGTGTGTTTGGGTTGGGATTTAATTTTATTAATTATAGGATCCCAAGCAGACCATCTGCTTGGCACCCAGCGGTCTTCTCTATTGAAATTAGGATGTTTTTTGATTTCAGTAGCTCGCGAATCATCCTTGGAAGGAATGGGTGTCCTTTAGCGAGGATTTGTGGTCTATCGAATCTGATGTAGTGCCTGGGGTGATTCTGTAGGTGTTCACAGACTGCAAACTTCCCGGAGCGTCGATTCTTTACATCATTCATGTGTTCTGTAATGCAGGTTTTTATTGCACTCCAGAGTTCCTCAGGTTTCTGTTCTCTTCACAAATCTCTTCCTGCTGCATATTAATGAACTGCTTATATCCGGTATCTATGAGGATGCAGACGACAGCGCAGTTGTAGACAGGGTCGGCTGCCGAATGCTCGCGCCTGTCGGGATCAAATCGAGTCAAAGAGAAAAGCGATGATAGAACGTGAGAATCTCTCACCGCAGGCAGTCTCCGAATGGGGCGATACCAATCCCGTGAAATTTAACACCTCCAAAATAAAAGCGTATCTCTTCAATGCTAAAATGAGCCCGCTAATTTCTGGAACGTATTTTTGGAGCACACTGACCATCTTTAGTTGATAGGGGTTGAGATTTCTTCGAATCTCAACTATGGGCGATTTATTGAGTCCAGTCCCAAAGAAGGCACAATGAAACTAGATATCTAGGACAAGGTTGCGTTGATATTTCACGCCGGAGTAGCTTTTTATCTTATATAAACACGTAAAAAACGTAAATACGCAATTATGGTCAAGAGCACTGCTGACGCATATGGGCCAGTGCTGCAAAATGCCACCTATTGTAACATTGATTTTGTTAAAAGCAATCTTGTCAGCCTCGAGCATAGGCGCTGAGAAGCCAGTATCTCGGTATTCTATAGGATGCATTTCGGATAGTAATAACCATCGGAAAATCAGGCGGTCGGCAAGTCTTCATCCCGTTGTTATCAATATTCCACGCATTTAAACCAAGTGGTTTGCTTTGTCCAGTAATCCAGTAATAATAGTAACTTGTACAGTAAATCAATAGAATTTTATATTTTGACCGCTTCGTGGTGCAGTGAGCCACGGGTGCGAATCCTGCATGGAATTTTTGTATGGCCTTTATTACCCCATTATTAATTGAGATTTATTATCTACAGCTTCATAATCACATACCACCGGGTGGAATTGTAGTCAAGCATTGGCTTACAGTAAATAAAAAAGCGGTTTACGTGATCTCAAAGCACTACGCCATAACCACATTAACTTTCTTTTTGCACTGCTGTAGTCGGATAAAAATAGTATCTTACGCAACTAGCAACGTACCGTTATTGATAACTAATAACATTTGAATCGGAAATACGCAGACGGACAATGAAATATAAAAAATCCTATAAAAATACTTAATATACAAACTAACTATTTTTCTATCTATTAGTGAATCATGTATAGATTGTTATTTATTGATTATTATTGACTGCTTCTTTAGTGTAGTCTAGTGGTCGTAAACGCAACTGACAATCTTGAGGTCCCGGGTTTGAATCCCAGGTCGGTTAAAAATTAATTATTTGGTTTTTCTGACAAGAATTTCTCAGTAGAGTCAGGATGTTAATGTTGTTACTCCCCTGTGAAACCCTGATGTAGCTGTGTGCCGCAGCATCTACTTACGATCAGGGGACTCGGTGCTGGCTTGTCATCTTTATTTTATTTAAAAAATTAAAGACAGTTTACTTCAGCCTACAAAAACATTTGTAACGTTTTACAAATAAACTCGTCAGTCAGTTAGTCACAAATAGGGATTGGTAGTGCCATTAAATACGTAAGCTATTCTATATTTTAAAGTAAATAGTTGTCTTACTATTAGGTTTGATCTGTATCAATTCCTTTTATTGGAAAGCTGTTTTAGTGTCCCAGCTGTACCCATATCCTTTAATGTAATGGATAATGCAGGATCCTCACATACTAACATTTATGAAACGTTTATTTTTAAACTGGTTAAGAAGTTTCACTAACAGATAGTTCTCAAGGAGGCTATTGATATCGTTGTTGCTAATTTTGTCTCATACATTCATTTTTTTGCTTTGTATATTTTAATCCAAAAACGGTGTTAAAATTTGTTAGTTATACAAGTATTAAACATTTTTGAAATCAGTGTTTTACCATCTTTAAAATAAAATATATATATATATCTATAAAATATAATAATAAGTTATTACAGGGTAATAACTTTAGCAGACATTACCCTGTTCATAAACGTATGAAGAAATGACAAGTGAAGTTAGTACTTGTGTAAATGAGTATCCAACTGTAGAATGTGGAAATGTTACGCCAATGAGCTATGTGAATACCCAGCGCAGGATTCAACGAAGGTTCTCACTGGAAGAGATGGATGCAGATTTTGATTTTGTATTATTGAATGAACTGAGGCAATTTCGCTCCGAAATGACATCTCGTTTGGAAAGTCAAGCAAATGCGATAAAAAATCTACAAGATCAATTCTCCCAAACCAAGGCTGACCTTGAACATTTAATAAAATTAATGACGGTAGTAGAGGAAAAAGTAGAGTCGAAATTATCCCAAAACATTTCGCCACAAATTATAAATAAAGATAGTATTAACCCTCCGTGTACGCTTGCTAATATAGTCAGACAAGCCACCAGTACCAATACACTATTGAAAAAGAGAACAAATAGTCGCCATATTTCTTATACACAAAATATGAACAGCGATGAAGCCACGAAACTGACTCAACATACGGCCCAGGTGAAACTAATAAGCACACCGATGATTACTGAGTCAATAAGTACGGATTCGAATAACAAAGAGGATCATCAACAAGCTGGTTGGAAGACGGTACAATATAAGAAGACTAATAGATTATATAAAGATGTGAGAATAGGAAAAAATACAAATATAAAGGCAATACAGGCTACGGAAAGAAAAAAATATCTGCACGTATGGCGTTTACACCCGAAAACCACCCCAGAAGCGGTTACTGACCATATTAAGAGCATATGTGGCTCAGAATTGAATATAAAAATTGAAAAAATCAAACATAAAACAGAGCGAGATTATTCATCATTTATTATAGGTGTACCTGAACAGTTTTATGAAAATCTGAATAAAGCTGAAGTATGGCCATTAAACGCTGAATTTAATGAATGGATTTGGTTTCGTAGATTTACCAAGAAAAGTTTTGATAAATAATAATAAAATAGACATATTTTATCAAAATGTAAGGGGTCTAAGAACTAAATTGGATATTTTTAGGAGTAATATTGTGGCTTCTAATGCGGACTTATATGCGATCACGGAAACAGGTTGTAATGAATCGATACAAGATGCAGAGATCGTACCACAAGGATACAAAATATTGCGTTGTGATCGAACAGACGGTCGGAAGCAGGGCGGTGTACTTCTCGTGGCCACACACCGGTTCGAGCTACGGCATGTACTTGTTGCGGACGCTTCTATAGACACCTATGCATTTGAAATGGTTAGTGCGACAGTTCATTTAAATAATAGATTTTTGTTTATGTGCTGTGTGATTTATATACCACCGGGCAGTTCAGAAAATGATTATGTGACTTTGTTTAGAATAATAGAAAAATTGTGTGATAGATATAAGCAGGTTATTGTAATAGGAGATTTTAATTTGTACTCAAGTTCTGTAAATATTAGTAATTATTTTGAGTGCTTCATGTCCTATTGCGAGTTCACTCAGTATAATAAAATACCTAACTGTTTAGATCGTCAGTTGGACTTGGTACTGGGCACGGGCTTTAATGAGCCGGGGTCGGTGTTGGTGGAGGCGGCGGACGAGGAGCTCCTGCTAGTGGACCCGTACCATCCGCCGCTCGCAGTCAGCGTGCACGTCGGGCCCGCGACCCCTCCACCTCCCACATCACCGCACACACCCTTCGAGGCGGGTGTTTCCAATAATACACCGAAGTGGAATTTTTATAAAGCTGACTATCCATCATTATATTCAATGCTAGCTTCCAACGATTGGAGTAAGATATATGAAATGAGTGACGTAGAAGACATTTTAGATTACTTTTATGATACACTTAATAATATTTTAGATAAATGTATACCTAGAAAAAACACAAATAAAAAACAATCACAGTGTGTATACCCAGTATGGTACACGCGCGAAATTATTAATGAAATAAAAAATAAAGCAATACTTCACAAAAATTTAAAAACACAAAGCTTGACAGTGATTACAGTGAATTCGCTAAGTGTAGAAAGCGTATTAAAAAATCCATAGAAATTGCACATAAGGAATACAAAAATAAAATTGAACTTCAATTTGCAAAAGACCCAAAATCGTTTTGGCAATATTTTAAATCTAAAAAAAGTAATTTAGATAAGCAGAGTATCATAAAAGATGGTGAATACTTAAGGGATGATGAAGCTGTTAAGGAATTTGCAGATTTTTTTGAATCGGTATACAACAAGGATCCGCCGCGATTGGACATACGCGCGGCAGCGGCGGTAGCTGATACTACCTCGGCAACTGTCCACATAGATACTCTGAGTCTTCAGGAAGTAAGAGAGGCACTCGTTCATCTCAAGCCAAAACGCTCATCGGGTCCGGATGGTATACCAGCTTTTCTTTTTAGGGATTGCAGGAGAATACTGGCAGAACCGCTACATCATATTTTTAATATGTGCTTAAAACATGCAACATTCCCGGCGAGATGGAAGATCACGAGAGTGATTCCGGTTCCAAAAGGTAAGTCAGGTACTGATGTGAGCAGTTATAGACCTGTGGCTGTACTGTCGACGGCAGCGAAAGTGTTCGAGTCAGCTATCCACCGACGGATGCAGTCACAAATAAGCGCTTATCTCTCCGATGCGCAGCACGGGTTTAGGCCGGACCGCAGTACAGCCACCAATTTGTAGATTTTTGTAGAACTTTATGGCGCAGGTAGTACCTGCAGTTGATGCTGGAGTACAAGTAGACATAGCCTACTTTGATTTTAAAAAGGCGTTTGATACGGTGGATCATGATATTTTATTAAAGAAGTTGGCTCAAGTCGGATGTAATTCGTATATGCTCCAGTTCTTCGTCAGCTACATGAAATATCGACAGCAGTACGTGGATTACCATGGGTATGAATCAGGACTATACTATACACGATCCGGTGTGAGCCAGGGCAGCAATTTGGGGCCTCTTGAATTTTTAATAATGATAAATGACTTACCAGAAGTCGTCAGAGATAGTACTTGTTTATTATTTGCAGATGACCTTAAATTGATGCTTCCAGCTAGGGTTACATCTGATTGTGAATGTCTACAGGAGGATATAAACAGAGTGGTGAAGTGGAGCCACGAAAATAAATTGTATTTTAATGTATCCAAATGTTCGGTGTTGTCTTTCACCCGTGTGCGTAAGCCGATGCACTTCGAATACAAGATGGAAGCGACACCGATGACCCGTGTGTCTCAGGTACGAGATCTCGGAATCCATCTCACCTCCGATCTAACGTTTCGCGAACATATTGTTAAAACTTGTCAAAAGGCGTAGTTGTAATACATAGTATATTTAAGTAAATTAGTGACACTATCGTATTGGGTTTGTTTAGCCTGTAAGGATAGTTGTTAAGTGTGTGTGTGTGTGTGTGTAAATAAATAAATAAATAAATTACAGCCTATCAAAGTCCAGTACTGAATATAGCCCTCCCCAAAGAATGCCTCACAGAGGCGATATTTGCCACCGTTGCTACGCTTGGCAGGCGAGTTAGCAACCACAGTTTCTTTTTCTAGTTGTTATTAGGAAGACGCTGCTTTTCATCTCCTGGTTTTTTTGCCTTTGTTGCCTCTAAAGACACCCACAGGATTATATGGGGTAGTTGATTGTTACACCGCTGCTACAAGGTGATGTTATTTGCATGTATCTTTTTACGCATGTACATAAGTTAAAGATACGAATTATTACCTTTCTAAATAGTCAGTGGCGTAGCAATAACCATCTATTTTATCAATTTATCGATTAAACAAAAAATCTCGAATTTTTTGGATCACACTTAAAATAAAACTCAAACAACTCCTGCGATTGCTTTTTATCTGTTCGTGAAGTTTCATCACAATCGATTTAGCCATTATAAAGACTAGCCCAGATAAAGAGATAGTCATACAGGCAGACAAAAAATTTAATAATGGTTATTCATGTCTTGATGTCATACAAATAGCTCCGAATAACCATGATCCCAATAAAATTTCGATATTATAGACAGACACTTCGATTTTATTTACAATATCCAATTTTATTTATAATATAAGATACTTGCGAAAATAGAGGGAGTGGCATTTTTAACTATATCGGCCGCGGTTGGCAGCAACGTATACTTTAAAAGATATAAAAATTGGAAATTTAAATAATTTAATACGATACATCAAATACTTGGAACTCCACACATAAAAATTTGATCGTTAATGCTAACAGGGTATAAATAAAATTGGTGAACTGACGACTTGGTAGCGCAGTGGCTGAGCATTTCCTTGGGGCATTACGGGACGCTTTCGGTTTCCACACTAAACAAGTATGGCCTACAAATTATTCCGGTTCTGAATGTTTGTCCATGTGGAATTTATATTTGTAACACGTTTCCACGATATAGACGAAATTATTAGTGTGGAGTGACGTTTACAACCGAACAAAAATTTATCACGTTTCATTAACATGAAGCCGTATATTCCATTTTTAGTAAAAAAAAAGAAAATATAGTGTCGCATAAATGAAAACACCTCTCCACCTCTCTGACATTTTTACATGGCATGCCTGCAATCAGTTCCAACCCGATTGCTCTGCGCTTTTTATTTTGAAATTTTTTCATGGACTAGCAAATTGTAGAGTGAATATAGTAAAGAGATAAAGTTTACTTTTAATTTGTGTGCATATTTGGAGGCAATATCGGGATAATATATATTCCTATACACAACATATATACAAAAACAGAACTTTAAAAAATATCTACACGATTCTTTTATAAGGTCTGAATTAAATTTTCAACGTTCCCAATAGTGAGACTACTGGTATACTTGAAATAGTAACAAGCTAAAGTACACACCCCTGGTCAGGAAATGGTGTCATTTATTATTATTAATTAAAAAGAATATACCACATGTGTAGCATAGTCCATGATGTCCAACAATTAATTATGGAGGGTGTCAAATACACAAAATACCTCTTACCCTTTGAGGGTAAAAATCACAGCAAAAGACAGTAATTACTATCTTAGTATCACAATAACAACTATGCTGCAGCTAAAGCTATTTTGACATGACATAGTCAACGTCATTCAAAATGAATAAATCGATTCAATATTAACGAGTATTTATTTGTGCCTCAAGACTCACAATAGTTAAACGATAATTTTGATTAAAATGACACATGGAATAAATAATAATGCTTTAATCCATTCATTTGAACATCGACCTAAATGTGTATGACTTATGGACGCTGCTATTTTGGGAATATTTATATAACTTTGTTTCGTTTTCATACTTTAAAATAAATATGTATTTAATATGACGATGTATAATTTAAAAAGGATGATCCCATGAAAAATTATGTAATTTGTTGGCTGCTCAGGATCAGGGGATGCTAACGATTCTTAAACTGCTGGATTTTTTTCGAGCCTTTGACTCGATAAATACATCCCTGCTGCTATCTAAACTGAGATATTATGGCCTTGATAGTAATTCAGTGAAATGTTTCCACAGCTATCTGACACGACGACTGCAATATGTGGAGCTGAAGCGGATGGATGATACTTTACTAAGGTCACAACTACAAATCGTTACTCGCGGAGTTCCTCAAGGGTCAATATCGGGGTTAATCTTGTACATCCTGTAAAGTGCCGATATTATTAACACCATTACAAATTGTCATCATCATCTGTACGCTGATGACCTGCAGGTGTACCTCCCTTTTGCACCGGTTGATTGTACCAGTGCTGTAGCTAAGGTGAACGAGGACCTGGATTGCATTTCTGCCTGGTGCAGTTCAAACTGTTTGACAATTAACCCCAAGAAGTCCCAATTCATGATCATGGGTTCGCCCAAGAATATTGCTAAACTCAAAGATATAACTTTAAATATTCATATAAATGGAGAACCTATTACAATATGATACACATACATGATACAGTCAGAAATCTAGGAGTTGTCGTTGATTGCAACTTAAAATTCGAAAAATATGTAGCGGAATGTGTTAGAAATAGTTTTTACCGGCTGAAACTCCTTTACAAGTTGAAACCCTACCTGAGTGAGAGATTGAGAATTACCCTCTGCGAGTCCTTGGCCCTCAGCAGGTTTAATTACTGTGACTCAGTATATGGTCCATGCCTCTTATCAAGAATGTCCAGACTTATTCAGAGAGTGCAAAATGCATGCACGCGTTTCTGTTTTACAGTTCCACCTCGGTCACATGTTACCCCATATCTCAATGACGCAAACATGCTGAGGATGGAGGCACGCAGAAGATTGCATTTGACTACAATGATGTTCGGGGGCATCACTACAAGAAACCTAAATACCTCTTCCTAAAGCTGGAGTGGGCCGGTGATTATAGCAGAGACCCCAGGAGGGAGTGTACCCCCGTTTTTGCCACTCCAAAACATCGTACCGTGGCGTTTCGGGGATCCTTCAGATTCGCTGCGTCACGGTGTTGGAACGACCTGCATCCGCCTTTGCGTGCTCTACAAGTGAGAAACACGTTTAAAACTCACCTAAAAAATACCTTATCTCACAGCAAAAGGCTGGTGGTGCTGATACACTTTCCATGCGGAGCTCACGTTCTGCACCGGCGTTGGCGGGCCCGTCCCACCGTAAATCATTTCAGCATCTGGATGAGTTCCAACTGACGTACGTTCCCTCTCCGCGGTATCATTGGCATGGTGCACTCTAAAATAACCTTTTCAATGACGTTTTCGACAGAGAACAAAATCAAGTAATATGTCAATGCTTACTTGCGCGACGCGCAGGCTGTGTTTGGAGCCATCGGCTCGGAGCGGAATCGCGCGGGTTTAGCATTTCGTAATAATATAAATGGCAAATAATACAAGTGTATTGTTACATGGTATTTGTTTGACTGTTTTTTTTTTCTTTTTTTTTGGATTCGTTCATTTGGTTGGGACTTGGAACAATTTATTTGCTTTTTATATGTTTATTGGAGTAGCCACTAATTTAGTAGTTACTTAATTTTAGTAGTTATTTAATAGTCTATAATGTAATGTAACGTAATTTAAGGGAATATTTTTGTTTCTTTATTTCAAAAATCAGGATAATTTCGATCACTGTTATAAATATTGTTTTACCATTGTTTTTTTGACAAGTATGATGACAACCATTAAAGCCGTATTGTGCACCCTTTCGAGAGACACCCAAGTCACATAAACACATTCATATAATAATTACTGAATTTTAAGTTAGTGTCTTCTCGAAAGGATGCGCAATGCCAACAATAGGTGTCCGCGGAAGACCAGCGTCTTGACATGCTCCTTGCGAGCATGTTAAGACTAATCTTCTTCGGTGGCTTGAAGAATGTTCTAATAGAAGCTCGCTTCAAGATGTAGCCAATCTTGTCTGTGACACCTCTGACATACAGTAGTACAGTAGGCACACGCTCGACTGTGGCCGGCTTCACTCGATGTCTGTGACGTAGGCGCGGAACCCTAAGCTTGTTGTCGTGCAGAACCTGCTTGACGTGCTGAAGCTTGGCGGCCTGGTGTTTGCTGTCACAGATCCCTCGTGCTCTCTGTAACAAAGATTTGCCCACGGTAGCTAACTGTGAAGGGTGATAGTGGGATTTACCGTTTAAATATCGGTTTGTATGGGTCTTTTTTCTATACACAGTGTGACCTATGGTATTATCAGGATTTCTAATGACTAACACATCTAGGAAAGCTAAAGAATTATTTGCCTCTAACTCCATAGTAAATTGAATTTTAGAGTTTATGGAATTAAGATGTTCTAAAAATGCATTTACTTTGCCTGATGGTAAAATTGTGAAAGTATCGTCTACGTACCGCTTGTAGAAACTTGGAGTTACTGGTGCAGTAAGCAGGGCTTTCTCCTCAGAGTCCTCCATGAAAATATCGGCGACAATGGGAGATACTGATGAGCCCATCACAACACCATCTACTTGCTTGTAACACTGTTCCTTCCACAATAGATAGCCATATTTTGTTTTCCTCTAGTTTCCTAGTTACAATTGAGATGCAGTCTTCAACAGGTAGACATGTAAATAAAGACTGAACATCAAAACTGACCATAGTTTCATTGTCAGTAAGACATAGGCCTTTTATCTCACTGACAAAATGGTATGAATCCTTCGTGTGTGCTCTTGTGTGTCCTTTGAGTGGTTATAGTACTTTTGCTAGGTGTTGAGCCAATGTGTAAGTTGGCGAATCGATCTGACTCACTATTGGACGTAATGGAGCGTTCGGTTTGTGTATTTTGGTAACCCATACAACTTCGGTGGTTTCACACACGCGGGTATTATCGAATTAACGGCTAGATTCAATTTCTCAGAGTATTTCTTTATTAGATCGCTAGTTGTTTAAGCGTATTAGTTGTAAGATCTGATTTGACCTATACCTACGTACTTTCATCCGATTCCTACCAAGGATGGTACATGAGGCTATTGAGATTAAAAAAACATCCTAATTTCAATAGAGAGGAAGGCTGGGTACTACCACCTGCTTGGGATCCTGTAATTCATAAAATTAAAACTAAACCCAAGCATACCACTGCAAGACTTCAAGACACAGTTAGTTCATTCAGCGTAGATCGGACCAAAATTATTAATTAAAAAGCTGAAGGTACTCCGGTTTAACTCTGACATCGGGACGTCAATCACCTCAGTCCCCCGTGACCACGGTTGCTGGAAAGTAACAGAAACGTCGGGAATATAAAATAAGTTAATTAAACGCGATAAAATCCGTAAAAATTGTTTTATTCAACGGTTTTGTAGCTCGAGCTGAAAGGTTTCGGGACTTTAAAACAGAGCACGAGGGGGACGGAGCGTTGACTTCATTAGACGAGACCTCTCCAACTTAACATTTAGGTTCAGTGTGCCTCAACCATTCGGTGATCGCTACCAGTGTTCACCCTCGCGATCACGGAGACATCACTAAACAGTTGTCGTCTGGTCGTCATAATGAAGCCAATCTAATTTTTTGTGGAACCGTCGGGGCTCGACCAGGTCCACTTCCTGTGGGGCTGCTTCTGGAAGAAAGAGTTCATCATAAAGAGTCCCTCTTTCTCCATGAAGTCGGCCAGCTGCTGGACCCTTGGGTTCCGTTGCCCTATTCCAAATTTCCCTACTTTCAGCTCACCATTCTCTCTTGTGCCTGTTTTGCATTGATGTCTCCCATTAACACCGTATATATGGTTTTGGAGGAATGCATGGCTCTAGAGATATCCTCATACATTTCCTCCTCCTCCTCATCGGTGTTTGCTGAGGTTGGTGCGTAAACCTGTATGACCTTCAGCGAATACCGTTTGGTGATTCTGAGTATAAGGTACGCAACCCTCGTCGATACACTCTTAATCTTTACAACGTTGTTAACGAGAGACTTGTGAACGATAAATCCGACACCTCCTTGGGATAGATGGTCGCCCTCCCGGTGATAGAGCAAGTTGCCGGATTTGAGGATTACCGTGTCCTCCCCCGCTCTTCGGACTTCGGATAATCCTATAATATGTCAGCGTAACTTGTCTATCTCTTCTTCCAGCTCCACAATCTTCTCGTCAGTCCTCAGGGTGCATGCGTTGTATGTTGCCAGGTCGAGTCGTTTTAGGTGGCAACCGAACCTCCACCGAATATTCTTAGCACCCCCTGCTCCGCCGTTAACATGGTCGCCACAGTAGCCAGGAATAGCGGGGCCGCCGGGGACTGGAGGCTGTTTTTTTGTTACTGTCATTTCATAGGGGGGTATTTGCCATAGTTTTTTTTTTATTGTAAGTTTGTTGTTATCAGGAAGATGCTGCTGCCCATCTCCTGCCTGCCTCCCTTTGTCGCCTTTTGCGACACCCACGGGAAGATATGGGGTAGTGGATATTCTTGACCGCCACTTCACGGCTAAACACACACTTCAATTTTATTTTATTGTATAGATAAATTGGTAATGTAATAAATTGATGGGTTTGATTTAATTTAAAGTTTATTTTCTTTTTTTAGAGCATTTAAATAAAAGCTTGTTTTTAACCTTTAACTGTGGACATGGGATCTCACAGACCTTTCACACTTGCAGATTTCTTACAATAACATATTTACCACCACCCCTCGCAGGTGGGCGTCTCAATAGTTTCTAGTTTAGTCACCAAATGCTCGATGAAGAAGTAGGTTGTGCCATACTGTGTCATAAATGTAAGTTAGTAGTCTACATTTTCTTAAGAAACAATTTTATACCATATTTACTTTTGTTTCAGATTTTTGTTGTTTAAAATGGGCGAAAATAGTCTACCAAGTTTGTCCAGGTCAAAATGCCAATTAGAGCAAAAAAGTGCAGTACAAAGACCGACAAAAATATTACGTTTATATGATGCGTCTTCAGGTGATATTTTTGCGAAATCTTGACTTGAGTAGTATCGTTGCTAGCATATTATATGCTCAACATCAAAATATGGAAATAGATTGAGGTATCTTTATAAAGAAATTAGCTCGTTCTCTAGTAGTCCCGCATATGCAAAGACGTTATATGTCAACCAAAGCATTACGAATAGAATTGAGAATTATCATAAAGCGCATTTTAGGTGGTGACGTGCCTGAAGAAGAAGAGCAAGAGAAGAGAAAACCTTGTGACCTATGCCCACGAAGACTCCACAGAAAGCCTGCCTATAAATGTATAGCATGCAAAATCCAATATGTCTACAATTCTCAAACCCACTGTGTAGAGCATGCCAATAATTATAGGGTAATTGACCCTCCGCAATTCAGAATGAACATTGTTGTTTTTTTAATTAAAATTTTATTAGATTTTAAGAAAAAAATATAATTACGTAGATTTTTAAAATAAATAATTCGTTAATATAACTTTAAGTGATATCAGTCCCAATTAAGACTGAAAAGTGCCTTTTCTTGATTTTTTTTTGTAATGATTTATATTTTGTAATAAATGTTTCTCATATCTAATTAAAATTGTATTATATACAATCCAAGCATCCACTGTACGTTGTTTTTATTTCTTTATTTGCACAATTAATATCAACTAACCCTAAACAATGTAGGAGTCTGTCAGACCCCATGTCCATGCTAATGTTACAAAAAATAAATGTCCAATGTTTTTTTTAGTATTAATTTATTAATACAAACTTAAAAAAATGTATGTATATTATTATATCCTAGAACATATTCGGTTACGGATTTGTTTTCTTTTATGTTTTTATTACAAATATATTATATTATAAATAAAAATAAAAATGCAGTTTCTTTTCAATTGCGAAAAACCTAATTTATAACGCCATGAAATTTTTTGATAAAATTAAGTGTGTCCTCCCCTCTCTTCGGACTTCACTTAACCCTATAATATGCCATCGTATATTTTACAGCTAAGCTTCGACCTCTAGTTACTTACCCGAATCGAAAGAGTTAGTTATTCCATCTTTGAGCAAAGTATATACGCTTTACAACGAAGTAACAGAAAACATGCAGATCAATTCTATAAAAAGGTTGAAAGTTATTATTAAAGAAAATATGCATAAAAAGATTTGTTTGATTTGTTAGTAATAATTTAATTCTACAATTTTCTTAAATTATTGTTTATAAATAGAGCCTCGCTGCGTTTTTTGCTTGTTCTTCCCAGAGTATTTATAAAAGTATAAATGACTTTCGATAAGAGCATTACTTAATCCATATTGAAATCCGCATTCGGTACTAAAAGAAAAAATAAACATTGCAATGTA